GAAACCGTCAGGATAGCTCACATGACATAACTTTTTTTCCGCATTATTGTGCCTGTTTTTTGGACGTGTGTTATTCCTTATCTTTTATTGAAGAGGCGGATGCTATAGGTTCGCTCGCATTCGTACTGCTATAAATCCTCTCTTGAGCTGGTAGCATATGAATTTTGAAGATGAAGAAGGAAATTAAGATGAAAATTAAAGTAAGCATTCAGGAACATGTATGTGCGAAGAACATAGTTGATCACGTTGAGCGAAAAGCGTGAAGAATAGAGGCAATCGTAGTTCTTTTGCTTATTGCAACTAACTTGCTTTGAGGGTCTCCTTCAATGACTAGTAATACCTGAATTGAAATAAATTGATTTTTGTAATGCGGGTCAGATACGCTGGGACGTTGATTTGTTAAGGTGAGAGATGTTGGTCACAATCAGCTACGGTAGATTCGACAGCGCAGCTTTCTCGGCTGTCTTTCTGAGGTTCTGCACACACACACAAACAAAGCTCTATGCAATTAGAATGTTGTAGCATACTAGTACTATCGACTGTTCTTTATACGAAACGATTCTGACTTTAGTATGACTAGCTAATTATGGTTGACCTGGAAAAAAAAGGTAATATCTGGCTGCAAACAACAATAGACATGCTCAGAAATTGTCTATCAGCGATAATTGAGCGCTAGATTAGGATTCTCAAATAAAATTTATTCGGCTGCGTTTCGTCGGCTCCACCTTCTTCAGAACCTGAGTTGGAAGTCATTGCAATCTATCCTCTCAAACGCCTCATTTTACTACAAAGAGACAAATCACCAGCTACAAACACTTACATGAAGACGAAAATAGCGCTTACCTTGTTAACCTTCTAGACAATAAACAACGACCACTTTTGCTCAGCTGCCCACTTAGTATACTGATTAGTAGTATGTAAATGGCTTTTTGTAGGATCGCCCGAAGATCGCCTTGTCATAAATGCTTTTTAGGTGCTTTTCGCTTTCATTGTTAAAAGAGTGATCATCAATCACTTTATGGCTTTCATGTTTCCACTTAGAGATCGAGTTCGTATAATCTATCTTTATAATAAGGCAAGTAACTTTTTCTAAATTGTTTTTGAGTGTAAAAATACCAGTTGTTTAGGTGCTCTTCCTAAGACTAAAACACCGGCAAGAAGCAAGAGCCCGAATACGCTTTGTAGTTGATAAATGGAGGATTAATGAGGAGTACGATGAAGGGTATCGAAATGTTTGACTATGTGCCTAAAGATTATAAGGAATGTAACTGCAGTGGTTGGCTTTCC